CCTCCACTTTCAATATTATTTTCAAGGCAAAATGGCTTTCCACCACAAACATTTCCGATATTTGGTGACGCCTTTGCACAAGACCACAATATAGATTCAGACTGCAACTGGAGACGTTGGAGGTTGCCGGCTTCGTTTTCCTTCCAAACATCCCAGCCTCTGGGACACAGGCTCCTCTTTGGACACCGTTGCAGGAAGTGACTGTTTCTCTCTCTGCAGTGGGAACCAGAGGGAGCGTTTCAGTCTTCCTCCACTCCTGCTGTAGGCTGCCACACCATATCACACATTCACTGCATTCCTGCCGAGGGTTACTGAGTTCAGTTTGTTGACCTCTTGAGCTTTGTATTCCTCCAGACTAGAAAAAGAATCTTGGCTCGATGTAAAGCTGATGGTTTCCACTTAATGGGACAACTAATTGCTGCTTGATGTTGCTGCTGCTGTCATAAACTGTTTGGTTTCATCTTCAGAGCTTATGGCATCATTTGAAGGCTTTCATTTTGAGCCAAATGTTCAAAGTGTCAGAGTATTGAGTAATTCCAGCTCACTCTAGAAATAATGCCCAGCTGTTCAAAAACAACAGGAACTACAACTGCAACCATCTCATGAATTGTACATCTGTGTCGAGTCCATCGTTTTCTCTCTCTCTCCTGTTTTCCACCCACAAAACACGCAGAGGGAAGGAGAGGCTGATGTGTCAAATCCTTCTTTGTACACTCTGGTTTGCGCAGACATGCACAACAGTCCTCCAGATGGCCAAACAATTCACTCTGTGGACTTTTTATTTGTCTGTGATGCTTTTATTGAGAAACATTAGTTGAGCTCCCGTTTAAAGCCCAAAGCTCCTGTTGTCTGTATGATATGATGGAAGAAATATCCTTCTAAAAATACCCCAGAAGCTCATTTCCGTTTATATAATCTCCAAATATTTATTTAAGATCGTTTACAATGTGATGTCTCTCTCTCACAGCAAAAATAATATGGACAGGCCCTCACAGGCTACATGCAATGTTAGGATCTACTCTTGATCCTGTCATGCCTATAAAAACCACCAGTCTGACAGCAGGGACTAATTATTTTTTGTTGCTTGTTTTCAGCCTTTGTAATCCTTCCAAAGATATCCCCCTGATGTTTATACTGCATATTATATGCTCCAGTGTTATGAGAATATGTAATGCAGCGTATTGTGGTGTGAGATGATCGTATACTCCTGTTTTTGAGGATTTCTAAAGAATAATTATAGGTGCGCTTTTTTCCTTACCTGTCTAATATTTTACCAAGAACTGTAATAGCATTTTTGTATAAATTCGAGTGAGTCTTAGGCCATGCTACATTAGCTTATGTCTCTGCACCACTCTGCAAGTATATCTATACAATACTAGATGGCATTGTTATTACCATGCTATGCGGATCTGTTCAGACCTCAAACACTTGGCATTTACATAAAAGATGAACTTAAGTTGTTGGTTTGCTTTGGTGAGGGTGAAGCAAAAGGCCAGAAGGAGGTGACTCACTGTTGTATAGAAATATAGGAATACATGGGAAATATTGGAAAACAGCCCTTGATTTCTGAGCTCAGTGAACACTTTTCTGATGAGTTTATAGTCTCAATCGCCAGTTTCAAGTCTTGCAGAATAGAACACAAATCAACACATTCCTTTTTTTAAATGGCTGTGGATCAGGAGGTAGAGTGTGTCCTGTACTAATCCAAAGCTTGGAGGCCAAAGTATCATTGGGCAAGATAATGAAGCCCGAGTTGCTCCCAATGCATTCGTCAGAGACTGAATGTTAGAAGATAAAACACATCTAGATGTAGACAGAAATAAGGCCCAGGTGCCAATCTGCAGCTTCCCCAGCTTTCCTGTCAGTTCACAAAAAGAGAAAAAAACTTAGATCCTTTGTATCCTTTAGAGCTGGACCTGAGAAATGTTGAAAAGCAGATGCTTTCACTGATTTTACTGCAGCAGTTGACTGCAAAGATGGGTAAAATTGTGAAAATAAAGATGTATGGCAGATTTTAGGCTAGTGCATTACAGTGAGCAAGATATAGACATATGTAGTATGCGTTCATGCTTCATTCATTCATGTGGTATTCATAGTCAGTAGTGTGAAGACTAGAACACTATTCTTTCCATTTTTTGTTTTTCCTTTCCATTTTGAATTTCTTCAATTCAAAATGGAATTCTTATGGGAATTGAGCAACATAAGGGAAAAGTATTTGACGGCCTGAGATGGTGGTAATGAAACAGAAAGCAGCCTAATGGCTGGAGATCGTGGCTCAAGAGTGTGGAGTTCGCCTTGTAATCGGAAGGTTGCCGGTTCGAGCCCCGGCTCGGACAGTCTCGGTCGTTGTGTCCTTGGGCAAGACACTTCACCTACCACCTACTGGTGTTGGCCAGAAGAGCCGATGGCGCAATATGGCAGCCTCGCTTCTGTCAGTCTACCCCAAGTAGACTGAAAGACTGTAGCTTGCCTCCACCAGTGTGTGAATGTGTGTGTGAATGGGTGGATGACTGGGTGTGTAAAGCGCTTTGGGGTCCCTAGGGGGGACTAGTAAAAGCGCTATACAAATACAGGCCATTTACCATTTATTTAATGTCAGAAATGAAAATACTTGGATGTCTCCAGAACAACTCCTTCTTCTTCCTCATATCTCATCTTGGCTGCTGTTCCAGGCTGACAGAATGTCTCGAGAAACGTCATGGAAAAGTTGCAAGCTAAAGGGGAAGGTCACAGCTCTGAAGGATCTGAACACTTTCCATGTTCCCTCCTCCGCTACAGCTGTGTTTATTGTGAGTACTGCTTAATCTCACAGCAGAGAAGAAGAAGAAGTGAAACAACTTACCAGCTAAATCACAAGACGGAATGGCAGGATAAAGAGCATGTGCACTTGCTCCAAACATCTGGTTCAAGGCGTATGGTGACGGTTAGCTGTTGTAGACTCGTGAAGTGTTGATCGCTGGTATTTTCTTCTGTCAGCACGCCAGTTCATTTCACGATTGGTGCAGTGGTCCAAAGACTGTCAGCATCTAGGAAAACAAGCGGTACCTAACATATGACAAAACAAAGACATCTTTAACTTGGAGTTTGGTCAATTTTAAGCTTGTTTAAGTTGAGCATGAACATCTCCTAGCATGAATTTGTCTTGTTGCATAGACTTTTAAAAAAAGATCCCCACATAGTTGATCTTCTTTTTTTCTTTATTTATTTAAAGAAAAAAATTGCAGCCATGCAGTGTGATGCAGAAAACAACATTTGTATACAACAGGAAATTCCAAAAGCTCAGTCATAAGCGCTGGGAAAGAGCACAGACATGAATATTTCACATAAATATTAGAGGAGTATTTGCACACAGCAGATCTATTAGCAGCTCGCCAGGACATGTTGAATAAGAACAGAGCTACACTTCTTTTATCCTCCCCATGCTGTCAGGAAGAGATCCCAGTTCGTGCCCTCTGAATGCCCACAAAGCAGCAGTCATCTAAGGACACGTTCCCAGTGTTGGTACTGTGAGTCAGCCACATGCCACTCATTGTGGTAGCCTCCAGTGACTGAGGGCTAGGAGTGGTGCTCTAGACAGATTTCATTTGACTAGTCTCAGGTTTTCAACCTTGAGAGAGAAAAAACTTGCACAGTTCTGCAGCATGCACTGAATAATTAGGAAGTGTTTAGACAAGAATAGGAAGAATTTACTGCATGTCTGTGATTCCAGACAGTATGTTGCACAATCCTGACCACTTGTTTGATGATTAGAAATAATGTTTCCTCTTGGTTTTGAGAAGTCTCTGTGACCTCTTTCAGGATCTGGCTGCAATCAGAGGCTCAGTTTTTCCTCCTAGTAGTGTCTGATGTTGACTGGCAGTATACTGTGATTGTCTTTCTTGACTGCCAGGAGAGCCCCTTTGACAGAAGTAGGAACCACTCCTACAGTGATTTCATTTGTTAGTGACCCAGTTATTTCTTAGTCTCCACAAATAACTGTCTTCAGTGTTTTGTTTTTTTTTCCATTTTAACGGCTTTGAAATAGGAGGACTGGAAAAGTCAAGTGTTTAATGTACCAGCTTACTCGATTAACGTGCTACATAAGAACCAGTCCATTCCTTTTCTGTTGATAAAGTCTGTATTGGTATAGTTTGCCTACAGTATGTCCTTCCTCTTTCTTATCAGTCTCTGGGAGCAGATTCATGAATATGGTCTTTGTGGAGGGTCTTGGAACAGCGGGTGTGAAATCAGCTTGTCAGTAAGGCTTCTTTGATTGCAGCTGCTGTCCTCCTTATATCAAGGAGTCTTCTTGTCTCTGACTGCTCTCTCTTTACCACAGACTGTTCTTAGACAACCAAACCAAATCAGAGTTATAGGAAGAGCTAGAGCCCATTCTTGGACTCATTCCAGTGTTGATAAGACAATGAGTCCAGTATAAACAGGGCAGTTTGCTCAGTGCTGGTAGGAGAAGAGCATGATCAACACTGCAATACTCCAGAGGTTTCAGTTTCCCACTGTTGCAAAGGAGAAGCAAAACCTCCTCTATGAACTGTCAGCTAGACTCTGTATATGTTGCTCAATCTCATGTCACATGTGAAGTTTAGCCAGCGGCTTCTAGTGTAGTTTTTGTTCTTCTAGCTAAATTAAGCCCTTCAGTTCTTAGACTTAGCCAGTCATCCACTCTTCAATGATATTCAAGTTTGCCAACAAAAGCATCTCAATATATTTCCAAAGCCATGAAATGAATCACATAAAACTCCAATTTTTGCTTCTTATGAGGGTTGCTAATTATAGGGTTCTATGTCCAGAAAACCTTTTACCCCACAGCTCTAAGAGGCCAATGGGGTGTTGTCGTCACCCTGCTGGGCGTTCAGGTGGTATGGACGCCCAAAATTGAATGTGACTTAGGCGTTTCAAACTGAGAGCATCTGCTAAAAATCTCTCCATCACATACAGTGTCCGAGCTGCCTCGCTGTAACATTGTTTCTCTGCTGACCTGCTGTGTGTTCCTCTCTTGGCAGGTCATGGTGAGTGTCACTGTGGGGAGTGTAAATGCCATGCCGGTTACATTGGCGACAACTGCAACTGCTCGACGGAGACATCGGGCTGCATTTCAGATGACGGGCAGATGTGCAGCGGGCGAGGCAGCTGTGTGTGCGGCCGCTGTCAGTGCACTGAGCCCGGAGCCTTTGGAGAAACCTGCGAAAAATGCCCCACTTGCCCCGATGCCTGCGGCACAAAGAGGTAAGTGCCGTGCTGCGGTTTATACCTGTGGTTTACACAGTCCAAGTTGAAGCTTGACCTGCTTGTTTGGGTTGCTAATATCCGCTGATAGGTGAGAAATAAGGTGGAAAATTGAAACCTTCAGGCTGTCTGCAACTGTAAGCTCCAGGAAAAGCTCAAAGTAGTCTAAAACCAAGACCTCACATACCTCTCTCACTTGAAGACTGATCAGAAAACTCTTCCCATGCCTTCAAAGCTAACTCTCTTGTCATTTGTGACCTGAAGACATGAAACCATTTGTCTGCTGTTTGAACTCGGATCACTCCATGTAGCAGCTCGAGCTTTTGAGAGGATGGAACTACAGTTTCCTCTCAACAGGCTTCCTGTGAGAGGTAAAGTTTAGTTTAAAAACTGATGTTGTTTTTATTGTGCAAAAGCGCAAGTGCTGGTCAGAACTGATTTAAAAACAGGATTTTTGCTTCCATAGTGGAAGTCAAAGGAGAGAGAGGCATCACTGTGCATTTGCTGTGCCAGAGAATTTATGACATTTCTATAACTGGACAATCAGTGGTCCAATCCCTGCTTCTTTCAACCTCTGTGTCGAAGCATCTTCTGACATGATACATAGAACAAGTTTTGCCCAATGCATCCACTGGAGCATGCTGGGCATAATGCTTAGAGGCATATAAGAATAGTGTTGTATCGATCTCTTTGTGAATGGGTGTCTTGTAGTAAGAAAGCGCTTTGAGCTCTCAGAATAGAAAACCATTTCTTTTAAGAACCAAATCAAGTTTAAAAGCAGCGTTTAACAAACTTGAAGCATCTGTGAAAGGTTCCTGTAACCTGCACCAGCAACAGTTCATGCACTCATCAGGTTCTTTGTTCTGTGTGCTGCATGGTTCACTTGCTGTTTAGTCGCAGTTTGTAGCAGAGACAGTTCCAGTGTTTTAGCAGAGCACAGTGGGGCACTTTCGACAGCTGATGTGGCAGAGCAAAAATAACAAACTGAAGCACAGTAACAATGTCATATGATTGGCTTTGGGTTGAGTGATCTCTGCCTCCTGAATGTAGATATAAAAATGTATGCATATGTTTAGCGTGTCTTTGTCCTCCTCTGATTCAGGGAGTGCATTGAGTGCCGGCTTTTCAATTCTGGAAGGCTTGCGGACAATGAGACTTGCCAGCGACAGTGCAAGGATCGCATCATCACTGTGGAGACTCTCAGTGAGTAAACACAAATACACACACACACACACACACACACGCTAACACAGAGACCAACTTGCTGGCAGAGAAAAGTATTCACATCTGTAGCATCTGCAAAAGTTTCATTTTTCACATTCTGCATACCGTTTATTGTTGTTACTGTGGGACTTTGCTAAAGTAATTGTCTGACTCCCACTAGTGAGGCACTATTAACACCTGATGTAATAAAGTACATTCAGATGCTCAACAGCCTGAATGCACGCACAAGGACTTTTCCATTCCAGGAAAAACTATATTTTAAATATCAATACATAGAAGAACAGCTCGAAGTGATCTTCTACCTTTAAGCTTTCATGAGAAGCAGGATACATACACCAGACACAAACAACTGAAGCAGCAGAGCTTGAAGCGGTTTAACTGATTAGCTGAAAGTGAAATAGTTGGCCATCTTTTATATACAGTCTATTTTAAAACAACTTATAGGAAAATTCAAGTTTGTATTTTGGCATCGCCATCTTTGCCCTTTTGGCAACAGAAGTGACCATTTTAGCAAGCTTTGTTAACAAAATGGGGGGACTGGACTGTTTGATTGGACCTACAGAGTGCATTCGGCATGGACAGATGAAGTATAGTACATGTCTAGTCCTGACAGGTGTTTATGGGATTGTCTAAAGGAACGTTTTTAGTTCCAGGTACTTTGGATGGACATGTGACATGTCACAGCTGATTTAGATTTGTGCTGTGAATCTCTGACTCTATGCAATAACCTGTAAAAGTAGCCAACTTTGTTACCAGCATTCATGCTTGTGCGTGTTGTTTCATGTGTGGTGCAGCCTCGATAAGAAACAAATAAAATGTTTGGTTCCCACTCTTTGTTGTTGTTTTGGTTTTGGTTTGGCTTTTTTTTTTATTTTCAGAGACAGACACATTTGTACTTCCCTCAGGTGCATTCTGATCGTTTCAGCAATCTCCCTCGAGGAATATGCCGACCACTGGGAATTCTTTTATCGAGGCTGTGATTGTTCTTCCTGTACTAGGACGATAGCTGTTATTCTTTCACTGATAAATTTAAAAACGGTGTAGTTACGTTTTCAGGAAGGTCCACGTCAGCTTACATCATATTATGTGGCAGGGTTTTGGAGCTTTCTGGTTCCAGTAGCTTAACACAGAAGTATCAATCCCCTGTTAGCATCTACAGGTGGTACCGCCTCTGAGTTTCTTTTCTAGTATGGCTGTCGCCTCTGTTCAACTCTCTGTGGTTGTTTGAGGCTTTGCTGCTTGCACCCTTTCTTTTTTCACACCTCTGTGATTGCTAATGAAAGTACACCCAGTGCTCAGCGGTCAGGCTTGACCTCATGTTTATGTTATTATGTGGAAGATGACGGTCTGGACCTGTCGCAGCTCCACACAGCAGGCAGCTACACCATCTCATCTACAACCCCTCATTTGGTTCAGAGTTCAGTCTATTTTAGAATCCAATCCTCCGCTGACACCTACCTTCTCTACAGGGAGAATCCACTCTCTAAACAAACCAAACTTGCAGTGCACTGCCTGTCTCGTGGTTCATTGTAAAAAGCCAGGGGACACCATCCAAAATGTTTGGCAGTGCATCTTCTCACAGCCTGGTGCTGAACACTCGGGGGAAATTTGAAATGTTTTAAGTCGCACTGTGACACTGCATGGCCTGAGTCTGTGTTTAGCCATAGAGACTATTATATTAGCATTCCATATTGGCCCAGCATGGCTCTGGCCTAGATCTGATGTGTTTCATAGCATTCTCTACTAGTTCAGCCATCTGACTGCCCTTAATGGTCTCCACATGTACATTCCAGATACTTTGTGCATGAACTAGAGGAGCAGGGGCTGATGGGAGGGGTGGACCAGGACGGAGTGACCTCATCCTCCCTTGTGAGGTTTTGAATCTGGTCAGATAATGATGATCGAATGCAAACAATGGCAAACAGAATGTCAGCATTTCAGTCAAGGCTGTCTTTTTTGTTGTTGTTGTTTTTAAATTGTGACTTCACAGCAGAGACATTGACCGATGTGTTAAACATTCATAAGTGGTTCCGTTTGCCCCTGAGTGTGAGATTCCTCTTGGATGTCTTTTGTTCCAGTATCTGAAGCCAAACCTTAATAGTTTTTTATAATATCAAAGTCTCGCTTTGTTAGAACAGCAGTAGAAAGTGAGAAACTTGCATTTATTGAGAAATGTGTCTGTGTTTTCTCCCACCCTCCTCCTCCCATCTCTCTCTGTCATGCTTAGAAACTGACGAGCCCGGCGCTGTGCTTTGTTTGTACAAGACAGACGACGATTGTGTCATGAAGTTCACATATTCTGAGCACGCCAGCGGACAATCTATACTCTCAGCTCTTAAAGAGCCAGGTCAGTGCTACCAACAACAATACATAATGTTGTCTTTCCTGGGGTTTTTGTTTTGTTTTTTTAGCAGCACTTGTTGGTAAATTTGACAGCTGGTAATGATCAGGTGCTTTTGGATTGTACGTAGGTATCAGCTGCTTGATTTTCACCACCATCTTTAAAGATTCTGGGTTCGTTACTCCCAACCTTACCTCACATTATTCCCCCTCAGTGGTTACAGACAATGAACCTGTCACTACAAAGGAGGCTTAAGAGTGTAGTACTGAGTGACTGTCATTCTATGTCCAGAGTCAGGGGTGTCGAATTTATTATTTTTGGTTCAATTTGTTTTTACAAATTGAACCAAAAATAACTACAAATTTTCAACTAGAAATTTTCAGGCTGTACAGGTGGATTAAAACGGTCATATTCAATACAAACATTTGTCAGTGTGAAGGCTGTGACGCTGCTGATTTTGATCTGCACAGCAATACTGTTTCTCAAAATAAAAGACTGAGTGCAGAAAACATTGACTTCTTCTAAGAAGTGACATAAAAAAATTTTCTGGTCAAACTTTTGTTTTTGATTGCAAACGCGGGGGATGTCAACTGTTTCATGTTACCTGAGTTCGCTGTCTCCATTTACACACTGGCTCCAGAAAGTCCACACATCTATTTTTAAGTGGGCAGAGTGACACCCTGGCTCTGTGCTGTGTTTTCAGTGCCGCCTTTAATGCCCTGTGTCTTCAGTAGCATTCATGTTTTTAAGAAATAGCTACTTGTGACTTCCCTGGGATACGAACTGGCTGAAGCAGACACTCAGTTTCTTCAATGTGCCAGTGACTGTTTGGTCAC